GCAAAATAGTAGGTGTTGTTCAAGTTTGCAAGTCATTGGTGGATATTGTGCATCCGACTCAACATTTGTTGTCCATTAACATTATGATCAAACAAATTACCATACTCAAATCTCCCAACAGGCAGAACGACAAATTTTTATTCAATAAATTATTTTAGTTTACTTTAAATAAAATTGAAAAATATTTCATTAGCGATATTTATAAATAGATGGTGGTGTTGAAAATCTAGAAATTCGCATTTGCTTTCACATTCAAAAAAATGGAATTGTGAAAAGAATTTTTAAAATGTATTTCCAAAATTTGAATTTTTATAAAGAAATACAGGCTTGTTTTAGAACTTAAAAAAGAAAATCAGAAAAAGACATTATTAACTGAACTGCTTAACTATGCTCCATAAAGTCACTGAACTTCAGCAACCTGAGATACCATGTATTCTTGGACGAGTGACTGTCAGGGAAATTTAAGAACTGTGTTGAGACACTAGCCAAAGAGGTAAAAATACTTACTGTGAATTTACAAGACAAAACAATGCACAGCACCACTATACACACCCCCATGCAATACCCAAAGGGCTAAGAGAAGTGTCCAAAACAGATGCAACAATTAAAATAAATTAAAAAATGAGTATCGTTTCCAACTTGTCAACAAAAACTTGTATGTTAAATTTGTCCAAAATTTAAACAGTATTTTTTTTTTATTATTATTAAAATTAAGACTCAATTTTAGGTTCTTATCACTTAGTAAGAGTGAAGGCTTGCCCAATTGACTTTTCTTATGATCGTTCACCCTGCCTGAAATCCTCAACCTATTATACTTTACTTATATTACTTTTGCATGCATTGGAACAACTTTTTTCGTGGTTACCTGGAGCAGCATGAGCAGCGAGTCTGCCTGCGGGGGCACCTGGCTGGCGTGAGGCGGCGTGGCCACCTGCAGGCGAGGCTGGCCCGCGGGCGCCTCGGTGCCGGGCAGCGGGTGGTGGTGGCGCGCCGCCGCGCCCACGGGCGGTGCGGGGCCCGGGGGGCCGGCGGC